AGATCTTTTTTAGTATTAGTTTTTTTAATATTTTTATGCTTATTCAACTCTATTTCTCCACTTCCTTGCTTTGTACTTTCAATTGTTATTTCAGTTACTCTCTCTCCTCCGTCACTCTCACTTTTCTTTCCTGACATATCATTTACATCCATTTTCTTTACAATACTTGTTAGTGTCATCGTTATATCTTTTAAACCTTTTTCTATTGTTTTAGGGATAAACGATATTGATTTATCTTTTTTAGTATTATTTAGTTTATTTTCTTCGTCGTCTATAATATTAATATCTTTATCTTTTGTGTCATTTTTCCTATCTGTTTCATCTTTTTCAATGTTTATACATGATAAGTCTGTAGACTTCTTTAGATGTTCTCGAGTAAATTTTTCAAAAATATTTGATTCGTCTTCATCATCTTCTTCATAAAATATTTTATTATTTTGTTCATTTGTATCTTTTTTTAGTACTTCATTTTTTTGAATTTCATATTTTTCTGTATTTAATTTATCGTTTTCTTTTAAATTTAGATTTTCAACATTAACGTTCATTTTTTCATTTGTTGACGGTATCGAATCTTTGCTATTTATGGATATCTTGTAGAATTCAATATTTTGTGAATCATCTAAAGTACTATCTTTTTTGTTAGTTGGTTTTACTCGTTTAGGAGTTATAATTTCTTCAACTACTGGCGTTTTATTGCTATATATATTTTTGTTTGTAATATTTTCGTTCATCAATACTCTATACATTCTTTCTTGTTCTCTTTGATCATCGTCAATTAGTTGTTTTAATTCTTTAGAAATATCTGTCACTTTAATTGGTTCCATAATACTTTCTTCTTTTTTATATCCAGTGTCTATATATTTCTTTTCAATTTTATCTTCACTGCATATTTTGGGCAAGGCATCAGACATAACGTTTACTTTTTTAAACTTTTCATCAGTTTTGTCTATTGATATAATATTTTTTTCTAAGTCTTTTAAACATGAATTATTAATACTTTTATCTTTTATGTCTATTATTTTTTCAATGCTTTGTAACGTACTTGTTTCTATGTTAACAATTTGCAATAATTTATTTTCTAGCTCTGAATTATTTTTTGATGTATCTACAACTTTTTCTAAATGTTCCAACAGACACTTTTCGGTTTTAATCACTTCGTCTAGTTTTGATTGTATGTTTATCGTATTTGTATCATTTTTCTTATCATTTTTTTCGATGTCAACGTATAAAGTATGTTCTTTTGGAAGTACTGTTTCGGATAGATATGTTTTTACTGGTGGTTTTCTTTTTGGTGATTGTTGGAACATAATGTTTTCTACTCCAGTACTAGATTTCTCCAATTGCATTATCATTTTTTTAACGTCTACTGTTGTGTCCACGTTTTTTTGAACTTTATTTGATTCTATTGGACTATTTGCTACATCAATTTTTTTCACATTATCAGTGATAGTAGAAACATCACTTTTCACTATTTCAAAAGGAGATAATGCTACAGATTCCATAAATATAATCGGGCTATTTCCGGCGTCATACATTCCAATTTTTTTTTTTATTTCTATTATTTCATTAGCAGCAAGTCCGACTTCATCAGGTTGTATTGGGCTTAATCCATTATCAGTAAGCTCTGCTTCTTCATCAAAAGCTGTATCTGTATGTTTAGGTTTTGTTTTTATTCCTGAACTAGTTAAAGTATCAGAATATTCTCTAGTCAAACTTATTCCTGTATCATGGTGAGATACACTTTTATCTGTTAACGGGCTATCAAATGCAGGTGAGTCATCTTGATGTCTTATAAATTGTACTTGTTCAAAAATGTCTTTTTTTGGTTGATCAAAAAAAGGATGCAATAGAACCGACCGTTCCTCAAATTCCTCATCAATGTCCGCCAACGATTTATGAATTTTCGGCTTCGATAAATTTGGCGTTTCAATGCCGTTGAGGTGTTCACCAAAACCATGAGTGTCCAACAAGTCATCATTGTCCTGTGACCATAATGCTACGACCAAAATCAACATATGACTAATTTTTTTTTTTTTTACTATCTAACATTTAAACTGCCAGTCGGTCCATTTACAAATTGTTCCAAAGGATTTGATGTGAAATGATAAATATGTAAGTTTTATGTTTGTGTGTATTTTTGTTTAATTAAATAGAAAAAGCGAGACAATATAGTATTATAGCTCTTCATTCCCAAGCAAGGTTCTACTTAACAATGTAGCATCAGCGATTTGTATGTGCAAATAATATACTGTGGTTTGTTTGTTCACTTTTCTGTTGTAATCTTGTGTGCCGGTGGTGCTTTGATTTCGATGAATATAGGTAATTGATAAATAATTCGTCATAACAAATTTCATTATTAACTTTTTTTTTAACTGCTTTACTTACAATTGAATAGTTATGTTTTTATTTTCTTTAATTTTTAAATAAATAAAAACTTAATCATTTTATTGTCAATATTTCTTAATTTTGTATTGTTTGTGCGTATGTGTGAGTGCTTGTACCTAAGGGTGTATGGTTAATAAGTGTGTACGCATTAATTCTTTCTTTTAAATAAATTACTTAATTGATTTTTTAAGTTTTAAACATTTATTTTGTATTAATAACGGGAGTATTTTATTTTAATGATACCTATTATATGTATGAAAATAATATTTTTATTTGATCAATAATATTTCAAAAGTAATGAAAATATTATTTTAAATTTTTAATTTATTTCTCTGAAGTACTAATCAAACGTTTCTTTAAAAAAATAGTTAACTTTATTATCCAATTTTATATTTTTAAGAAATGAAAATAATTTTTCAATGATTTATAAATTATAATTTACATCTTAAATTAAATTTTAAATAAACTTATTTTAGAATTTTCATTGTCTTTTGTTTTATTTTTAAATATAGTATTAATATTTGTAATTAAAACATAGGTATACTATAAGTTCTAGTTTTTATATATTATTGAAAGAAATTTTTTTTTTTTTTTGTTTAGGTAATATAATTTAATATTTGCTATTTTTCTGTATAATATGATAATATATTTATTATTTTTATAAATTTATTTGGTCCAAGTGGTTAAAATTCATTATGAAGTATTAATATTTTAAATTTTAATAAAATAATTTTAGTTAAATGTATGGATTGAGTATCTATTTTATAATAATAATATTTTGATTACAAGACCATAGCCGATAATAATGATTTATAGATTTGTTATTAAAATAGTTTAAACGTATTTTTATAAAAATTTTAATTAATAATTTAGATAGAAAAAATGTCAAGATAAATTTTAACTACTGTTATTTAATGTTTGTTTTACCGTGATATGTTTTAATATTCGACGCAATAATATCGTAGGTAAAGGGTTTATTAATCATGCATTTAAATGTATTCAATATTTACTCTTGTACAAATGAAATAAAATATGAATATAAAATAAATTGTTAATTTTAATTAGTTTTTCTAAAATAACCAATTTCATTAACAACTATTTTTTATTCACGATTTTAAGTCCATCTATTTAAAAAAGCATATACATTATAAAATATATTGTAAAAAATTTTTATTCCATTAAACCATATACGTGACACTTATTTAATAAATACATAGCCTGCAGTTCAGAGTTAAACTTTTTGTGCATTTTGTTTATGAAATTGGCTTATTATTTATGATTAAAAACAAAAGAGCAAAAATCAAAGCACCGTAAAAAAGTTTAAATAGATTTAAAACAGAAAAGTTATACAAAAATACATAATATAAAAGCGGCTTATAGAAGGGCTCTAATGTTAGGCTCTGTAAAATTTGGAAACTTATTTAAAAATAAAATCCAATTTAGGTCATTTAAGTGTTAGTACAAAAGCTTAAGTTCAATATCTTGAAAAAAAAAATTGAAGCCAATAACCCTTGTCACCGCAAAAGCCATAAAATATATTAATTAAATAATAAATTCAAACATAAAAAGAAAAATATTTATTCTATTTATTTTATTATGAGATTGATATGAATTAACCCATTTGAATGATGATTAAATGGATCAAAGGAAAATATTGTGCTGCAAACAACTGTCATTGTACCCTTATGATGATAATTAAAATAAATTAATTTAAAGAAAAAAAAATGACCAATGAATTTATTTGATTACATACACTACAACTTAAAATAATTCATTTTTACTCATTTTCGTTGTTTGCAGCATCAATAAATAGGATTAGTTATCACGTATTCAAGCCACTCATACACAAAAATATAGGCTATGTTAATTATTTACTTGAAACTGTTTAAAAATCAGTTTATATTGAAATATGTATCTAAAAAACGCAAGCCGATATACAGTAGGTATTTATTAATTTTTTTGTTTTTTGAAAGAAAGAAATTAATTTTTATTCAACGAATTCAATTATTCAGTTATGCCTAATTATCAGTTATAAGTGAAATGTAAAATACACAATAAATTATAATCTAAAATATACCTAATGAAAAATAAATAAAATTAAGTAGGTACCTATTTATTCATTTTTATTGTTTTGTGATTTAAAAATGTGGTATAGCTTTAATCTCATTTTTATGTTTTGAGATTAATTACAAATAAAATATCTAAATTGGTACTTACGGTCTTGTGACAACTTTAAATGTATGAATTATGAACTTCAATTGTTATTATATTTTTGGTGCACAGAACTAAGCTTCGAGTCTGTTTCAAAAAAGTAAATGTGATATTTGTAGCTATCCCCATTACAGGTCGACTGGTACTCCCCCGCCCTACCAAAAACATTTGTTCCTGTGTAATGTGATTATCTCGTTAGCGAAGAATGAAGCCATTGTTTAAAATGAAACCTTAAACGATACCCTAAACTTGTGTCGACCTATTTTTGTGTATATTTACACTATAATATTAATATAATAATATTATAATCTTGACAAAAAATAATCTAAACGTTTACGGCTTGCGTTTTTATACACTTTCAATATAGTAATAAAACGGTCCAATACAAAATAATTTTCTCTAACCTGTTTGCGGTTCTTTTTCTGCAGATACGGATTCTGTCTGGCGTTGTTTAGATTCATTTTGAGACTCTATTTCTTTGAACTCCGCCGGGCTAGGTGGAGGAGTTCTAGATGATTGAGGCGATAGTAGTTCAGCTGAAAATAAAATTTATTATTATTAATATTGGCCGTGTAATTATTATTGCTCAATATTATAACATTATTATCAATAGATGTTAATAATAACTTACATTTGTCTTCTACTTTTGATTCATTTGAATCTAGTTTCACCAAACCTTGAGAAACTTCTTCAAACAATATCGAATCGCGTCTTATTTTCTCATCTGTATCCTTAGTCAATTCAATACTAGGCTTTGGTACTGCTTTTGTATCGGAAACTTTTGCGTCTAATAACATTATTACAAAAATTATAAAAATATTTTAAAAAATTAGAAATTATCTATGAAACATGTTTAATTTTTTTTTTAAAATTATTATAACCATTACTATATTACATTACTACATAAGTAAATAATTAATTATTAAATATATTATAAAAAATAAATTATTATTAATTGCATTTAAAAAAATATGTACTATAAAAATTAAAAGTTATAGCATAATATTTTTATGCATATTTTTATTTTCCAGTACAAATTGTATTGTTTTATAAACTGATTGATTTACTTTTCCACGCATTTTCTTTGTCTCACAAACTGTACAACAGTATAAAACTTAGCAAACTTACGTTCAGCTAGACCAATTTTGTTTAGTTAGTTTTATTATTAGAGTGAATTAATTTAATACCAAATGTTAAGGTAAGAAATAAGAATACCATTTAGGTCATATTGTGGATTTTTATTGATATTTCATAGATAGAAATGATATGGTTTTAAAATATTTTGACTTTTTTATGTGCTATTTATAGATACTTGAAATTTTCGACCTTTTTATTTATTTTTTTAAATTTATATGAATATTATGTATTATATTTAATAATTTTTTAAGATAAAAAAGCTTGAAAAATGAAAATGTAATACAAAACCTCACATAAGTTATTTTTATATCAGCATTTAAATAGTACGATTATTTTTAGATCATTGAATTAAATTCGTCTTAATTTTAAATTTTCATTTAATTCGTTCAAAATTACAAAAATTCGAAAATTATTTTGTAGTTATGAATATGTGAAACTTTCAATTTTAGTAATTGAGTTTTTATAAATTAATTATACAGATTTTTATAAAAACTTCTTACAGTAACCTTTAATTCTTAAACGTTAATTAATATGCATAATTCATTTTTATGGATATTTACAAAATTTCACGTTTAAACAAAAAAAATAAATAAATAAACAATTTTAATTATTCTGTTTTATTTTAAAAAGTATATTTCACGAGGTACTTGAAACTTGAGTGTATGATATTTATTACAATTCTCTATATACAAAAATAAATTTCATAGTGACATTTAAAAAATATTTAGTTACTTTAAGTTATTGCCAACTTATACCACGAACCTATTTACACCGTTTTACGGTAAATCGATATTTATTTAAAAGTCAATAACAATACATATGATTTAAATACCTATCTATATGTTTTACTAAAATAGTTAATAATGTAATAAATGCGATAATGTGATGTTTTGAGCAAAAATTAATTAAACCTACCGTATTACTAATAGATCATTAAATAAATTACTTATATAAATAAAAATATAATAAAATATGCATAATAATATTGACCGTTTCGCTCAGAATTGGTTTAATAGGCAACACGCGTTAACTGCAATTACAATGGCTTAATGACAACGTTTACTCGACCATACTATACGTACAGCAAAGCGAGTTCTTTGGTTTTATTTTTTTTTTTTTAATTTAGCAAATGCGTTGTTTTTAAACAATACGTAATTAGCAGAACGACAGCCATACTATGGAAATTATTTTATTATTATTATTGTTATTATTATAATTTTAATTTATTCGGTAAAATGTTTCCACATTATTTGGAATTTAAAAAAAATGTTTAATATTAGCCTTAATTATTTGTTATTAAAATTTTTTTTTTCATTTATTATCTTATATTAAAAGTAAACAATCAAATGTCGTATTTATATATAGTGTAAGTTGTAACGATTTATGTATAAAAATATTAGTTCGTGCTATAGTTCCTATCATTTTACCTTCTGCCAACGTCGTATCCCTTTTTTCGACTGACTTTTCGGTTTCAATTATTGTTGTCGATTCTTTTTCGTGTTCAGGAACGGTGGTGGTATCCTCCGCCTTTTTCTGAATGATTTCCTTGACGGGTATGCCTTGCTCAAACGACAATCTTTTTTCGTGAAACGTCAAGCTCGTCGCGTCCACATCCACGTCAACGTCAATAGGTTTTTCTTCGATCGACGGCATCTTTTTCTCTTCTGACATGACCGATTTTTCTTTTACCGGGATGTCTTCTTGGAGTACCTGTTCAATCGACACGCCTCTCTCGAATGACATGCGTTTGTGCTCGAACGACACTTCGGTGGGTTCGATCGGTTCGACAGCGGCGGGCATCTCCGCAGGTTTGGATGTCATTTGGACCGCGTCGTCTCCCCTAGTGGACGGCTCATATTTCTTATCGATGACCACCGGTTCACCGTTCAATCGTTGTTCGATTTCCATTCGTCTTTCGGTCACAGTTTTGACGATCTCGTCTTCAATCACAGCCTTCTCTTCGGCAGCGTATTTATTATTCTGAGATTGAGAGCCTAAATATCACATTTATATACATTTAATTTAATTATATGGACGTATTTTACAATCATTATATAATTATTAATACTTTGATGTTTTTCTGGTTCTGCGTAAATGCCATTTTGCGAAGGATAGTGTCCGATTTCCGCAAAATTACACTTTTCCACTACATCAGCTCTACCTATATTGTTTAGAGCTCTTTCTAAAGCAATGACTGTTCAACCAAAAATAAATTATTTAATATTAATAGAAATAATAATATAATCAATAAATTATAAATCATAATATGTAAATATTATAGTGAAAATGTATTTATTAAAAAAATAAAATAAAATTGTAACTTGATCAGGCTTAAAATTTTTCAGTACCAATTAACCAATATTATCTATAGCATATTTTATATTATTAGGTATTAATTACAAAAATGAACCAACAATATTTGTCTTGTACTAAAAAAATATTTTTTATATTTTTTTTATTAGTAATAGTATCGTGTGTTGTAATCAGTAATCTTTTATAATATTATATATCCAACAATAATACAATTATACAAAACAAGAATAAAAATCGTTGTTTTATTTTTTAATTATGGAATATTATTATTATTATTATAATTATTTTAAAGCGAAATTAAGTTGTTCAGACATTTAATGTTCATTATTAAATGATGTATTTATAATATTTAATATTTTAAAAGTAGGAAAAATAACTTCCTCGGATAAGTTTGATTAAAATTTTAAGCCTAAATGTTTTATTTATTTGTATAATACACAAGTGTATAGTGATGTTAAAAAATTGTGAGTTAGCGTTTAATTACCTGAATCTTGGCCAGATATTTCATTCATCCACAAGTTAAGCATGCTCATACACTGTTGACCGCTGCTATCTGGATATTCTCTCTGGATTTGAGCAATATCTGTCGATTGGAAACCCAATTCGTGTGCCAGATTAATCCAATCTTCAGATACAAAATTACTAATGTCGGTTATTCGGAGTTCACTACGTTTGTGTGGTTCGGTGTCTAAAATACACAGATAAAAAGATATTAAAGCAATATGATTAATAATTATCGTAAAAAATATGTATTAATATTTACTCGAATCGTGGGTGTATGTGTAATTATAATGTTCATCAACATTGTCATCTGTTTCGGGTATAATGTTTTCGGGCAATCCGAATTGTAAAACACAAACTGGTGTTTGAGCGGGTTCATTTTTAGAAACCTATATAATACGACGCACATAAATAATTTTATCATAAGTAACTAAATTTTATTTTCTTAAAAAAAATCGTATATACTTTTGGTTCTTTCATTATTATAGTCCACGATCGTGGTTCGGCACTGGGGTCTTTAACGCGCATGGTAAATGGTAATCTGTTTTCTTTGAATGCCCGCACCACCAATCTGAGCTGTTCACCAGACTTAGTAACTGGGACAAGATTTCCTGCAAACTCGACGTACACGGGCTTGCCTTCCAGAACCTATGTTATAATAATCTCACATCAGTTAGGTTTCAAACAATAATCCAAGTATTGTAAACAAATAATATGAGATTAGATTTAATAATGTATATCATGATAAAATAATATACCTAAAAATAACGAATTCATACATTTACTCAAATATATTTTGTTGTAAACTCGTATGTATAATACATTTTATTTATTTACATCAAACGGTAATTTTGTAAGTAAATAATATAATTATATATATTTGTGACAAAATTAAACTTAAATAGTAACAAACAATTAATAAAATGAAATTGTATTTAATTATATTATAATAGAAATAATAAATTGACAAAATATAATTAAATATTTAAGATTAAGACAGACCTAGCCTAATGGCACAAAACATAATCTGTAAAGCATAAAAAATATAGAAAAGAGAATGGTTTCTGTCATGGTTTGAAGTTTTGATAGAATGTCGATACTTATGGACTTATGTAGCTCATAAGCGCAAAATATGACCCAAACGTAACCCAAAAGCCCAAAAATAAATATTCCATAAGCGCAAATAAATTGTATAAGAATTAAGTGTATTATATAAGTTTATACTGTATATATTGTATAGTTATCTTAAATAATTATCAACCTTCATCGTAATTCGTTGCGATAAAATACGATACAATAATTTATAGGTACTAAACTTCAACTGAACTCGATAATTTTTTATGTATTTTTGAATTTTAAAAATACTATATATTTAATCAAAATGAATAATTAATAATTTTAAAATAAAACTTATAGTTTAACGGGTACATAATTTATTTTTGCGCTTTTATCTCATTACTAAGGTACAAAAGCACAAAAAGAATTTGTGCTTTTGGGTTTCACCGTAATAAATAATACCAAGGAGCTGTTAAGAATGAAAAAATGAACTTGGCATAGCATCAGAACTCAGAAGTCAGAACGACAAGATGATTTTTGATATAGATATATTTTAGTGTGTTCGTATGTGTAAGTAATCGTGAACTAGATGGTTAATTTTTAGTATATATGTGACATAAGAAGTGAATCTATTTTGTACACGCTCTAATTTTAATAAACTTTGGCCAGATAAGAATTCCGAATCACTAAACTACGGTTCCAAGCTTAGGAAAAATAAGTATATGAAATTAAAATAAAACATTTTAGTGTTTTGTTTAATATAACTTAAAATATTGAGTGCTTTATTAATAGTAGTATTAATATTATGATTAATGTTTAAAAAGAAAGTAAGGTAAATTTCAAGGTTTTTATTTTGAAAAACATGTTGGAGAAAAATACCTGTTAAGAGTATAAAAATAAGATATGAGATTACGTTTCCTAAAAAAGATTACGATATAGTATTTGTTTAAGCTAAGCTGAAAACAAAATGTCTTAGTTTTCAGCTTAGCATTATACATTATAATATTAATAATCTATATTAGTTAATTTTTTTTTTTTAACCTCGACATTGTAACCATATTTTTGACTTATATATACAACGTACCTCGACGTCTCTACTATTTGAGACTTCGGTAAAATGTTCTTTGTGTTCTAATGTCTTGTCTTCTCTATCGTCTGTCATACAGAACAATCGTATTCGAGCTTCATTTGTATCTGTTCGTTTGGCAAACACCACAAACCTGAAATAAAATAAAAACAAGGGGGGCGGTCATTAAAAACGAAGTCATTATATCGTCTAACCCGAAAAAAACTATTTTCATTACTTGGCCATAAATGGTACGTGTATGGCCTCCCGGTATAGTTCGGTAGCCATTTTAGACGCGTCCGCCACATTTCGGCAGTCCATTAACCAAAATCGCGCCGAAACTGTTGTAGTGAACGATACACAATCGTTGATAAATGTAAGAGGCGTCGAGCCTGTAACATCCTCCCATTGTGCTCTGGATGTTCCTCCTAAAATAGTAATATGTACACACACACGATAAGAAATATCCAACACTCGAATATTTTCATTATAAATTGTGAAGAATGATTTTTGAAATTCAGTAAAAGAAGTTAGATGTCACAGAAATAATGAAGTAATTCGGATGAGGTCCACAAAAGCCAATATTTCTACCACACATAAATCGTCATTCCACATCATATACAAAGCGAACTTGAAGCTACAAGTTTTTAAGCAAAGCAGAAACTAGTGTTGTTTTATTTGTTTATTCGTTTAAGCTTAAATTAATAATTTGTTTCAGAAAAGATCACGTTCTTAAATGTTTAATATTTAAACATAGAAATTATTTCCGTATTTTTTTTTTAAATATATATTTTCAAAAAGAATAGTTAAAAAAAAAAAATTATCGAATAAATCACATCCAAAAATTGTTGTGTGGAATAAAAAAAGAAAAAAAGAAAAGAAAAATAAAGAAAAAAAGAAATACTAAAAATACTAAACACGTGCCCTCTACGGCTATTAAAATTAAAATAGGTGTGGTGGTTATAAGTATAAATTTAAATGTATAAACTATGCCGATTAAGTGTATATATTTATAAGTATATAAGTAACCAAATGACATGAAAAAAATTACCGTGATCAAAAACACTCGAGTTTAATAGACTTTTCATTTAATTAAAAATCTAAACCATAATAATAATAATAATAATAAAATAGCGTCAGCTTGAAAAAATAAACAAAATAAACGAGAGTGACATTAAGAAAAAAAAGATCAAGTGAAATCATTTATTATTATTTATTTGATTTCTAATTCTTTACCTTTGCGAGATCTTTTCCGAAACAACCCTGTCAAAACAGTGCAGTATTGTGTTACGCAACAGTGAGAGCCAAAAATAAAAACGGTTTTAATCGAAAAAATTCAAACAAAGTTGATTTTATAAAAAAAAAAGTTATGTAAAAAATAAAACAAGTAATTTTTTTTTTTGCTAACTGATATAAAGTTGCCGTACCACCATAATACAGGTAAGTCTACGACGGAGAGAACAATATATTTGACGACCAAAGATATTTAGATATGATATAGATAAACATTGGAAAGTATAGCGATACGAGAGAAAAATGAAATTATAAGAAATGCATATCGGTTTATAAGTACCTAACTAATAACTAATATTATTTTTTCGAAGATATGAAAGAGTGTAAAGTCGGCATTAATTAATGATAATATTATAATAATGTTATTAAAAATATCATGTAATTAATAAGATTACATAAATCGTTAACCTTGAGATTTAAAGAAAAAAAATTCAAATTTCTAAACGTTTGTTTATATTTAATTTAAATCGTAATATTCAACCTAACATAACAACTGTTATGGTACGAAGATACGGTGTGTTCGATCGTCAAAATATCATTTGTATGTCCGAGAGATAGAGAAAAAGAGATGTAGAGAGAAAGTTGTGTTAACTGGTCACATTTTTAAAAAAATGATTTTTGCTCACCTGTAATGCTGCACAAAAGTCTTAGGGTGGGCGCATCGCCCGTGTAGTGGTTGATCATCCCCTTGGAAGAGGCCTGAGGTAAGGGCAACGTGAGCGTGATTGGTTTGTGGAACTTTCGCCTTCTAGGTTCGACGGTGACGATGGGTGATACGGCCACTCTGTTACCCAGCAGTTTGGCCGTCAGCTCGGATGGGATCGGTTGAGCCTGCGGTAGAAAACGACATTTTATAAAGAATTTCGGTAGTGTAACATTATTATGTGTACAGCAGAGGTGCCAAAAGTGGTGAAATGAAATTTTATTTCACAGAAGGGTGAGATAGTCCGAGATCCTTCAGATCGCACCGGTAAATTAAACTTTACGTCGTCATATATGCGTTCATTTCAAAGGCGCTAAATAAGATTGAAAGTTGACTAGTGGTACGTCATCACTGGACAGTATAATACGTCAAATTACATTACCGTTAATTTTTTTTTTTTTTTTTTAATGACAAGAATAAACCACCTATGAGGGGACTTAACGTCTGTTAAATAAAAAAAAATTACTGATAGTCAAAAAATTCAGTAATGTATATTAATTTTTTATAAATTTCATAAATAGTTATGCTTATTAATGTAATTTAATTGTAAGCCATCGGTTTAGTGATGATGGATGGGATGGTAGTGTGGAAGGTTGGAGTGACGAATGACAGGTGTGTCATTTGTGTTTCTGATTATTTCTATGCCTCTGGTTATGTACGTGGAATACTTCCAGCACGTACTATGCCGCGTCTCGAAAATCCTCTCACAACTAATTAAAATTGTTTTTTTTTTTTTTTCATCGCGAGTTTAGTGTTATTATTTACGTGCAAAAAACGAGTATACTGACCATACACACAGTGTATAGAGTTGTAATAAACACCATTTGAAAAAAAGAAAATGCATACAACTTGGAGCAAAAATTTGTTAATTTGTTTATCCATAAATGTTTTTAATGAAATCTACCTTGACACGTATCTAATAAAAATGTTGAAGAAGGTTGTACGCATAATATGATTTTAATTTTAAAAATGTCTCATTTTACGATAAAATGGTAGGAAGCTTAATTTCTTCTTGTAGTTAATAAAAAAATAATTTGTATTTAAGTTTTTGGGATCATTATTTTTTATAATTTTAGAAAATACAATTAAAATAAAAGAAAAATCGATGAAAAAATTAACTGAGACTATTATACCATAGATATATTCATAAATCTGTATAATATATTCTTACAAGTATTTCAATAATAATAAACAATTTTCCGCTTAGTGAAAAACACTGCATGTATTTACCTACATATAAATTTAAATTATAAGACGATAAAGAATAATAATAATAATGAGAAGAAGAAATCGGTTACAATTGATCTCAAAGGGCAATACATATTTGTCTATTCCAATCGATAATTCATTGTAACCAATCTCAATAACAATATACGTAAATCAGTGAACTAAAATTTTTTTAATTATTTTTTTACTATATTTTAATACAATACACTTGTTTAATATTTTTTATATTTTCATAATTTATATTATTTTATTATTACATTTATAAGTTTATTAAAGAGTCAAATATTTATTTTGTTACGTTAACTAAAAATATAAATTACAGTAAATTCTCGTTTAACGACACCTTATTTAGCGTTGTTTCGCTATTGCTTCGTAGAAGTTCAAGTCCTTGTGTTTTATTTAACATTACAACGGTTTCAGTATAACGTCGTTTGTAATACATGTGTTAACAAAATTTTGTATATGTATTTATACATGTATATTTGGTATAAGTATGTCATTACAATAAGTAATTTAATTTAGTCAACCTTTTTCAGATAATACTAATACTATTATCGTTTTAATTGAAATATCTACTACACATAGGTATTATTTTTATTTACTTTAAGTAATATGTACTCCGTAATCGTTTTCATTTTTTAAGGATTCAATTTTAAATACGTACGTAAATTTGATAACAAATTTTCGTTAATTTTTAATATAGTATATAATTTAATGCAGTAAATCGTGCAATTATAATAAATATGCACATTGTTATTCATTGTCAAGAATCCATTATAATAAAGTGTAAGTAAAAAGTGTTTAGATTAACGTTGTTTTAGTTAACGTCGTGTTTTCTAGGAACCGAACTTCGACGTTAAACGAAAACTTACTGTATTCATTTTGAACAATAACAAAAAAAAATATATACCATAAATTTTAAATTATTTTTACCAGGACACGAATTGAATTATTTATACTTTATACCTCACACGGCTCACACACACATTATTCATCAGAAAAAAATGTTTAGTCATCTATAGTGAAAATTGCAGTAATTAAATCCTACTGGAAATTCAAATTTTCTATCCAATCTTTTGGAAATCCAACTACAGAGAATTTTTTGACTAAGAAATATTTTCATAACATATGCTCCTTATTCAAGAGAAAATTTCGTACAGTCGTACACATTTTAAATAAAATTAATAATTACCATTGACAGTTTCATAATTTTCACTGTAAAATATGTGCTGCATAAAATTAATTAAAAAAATATGTATTATAAACCAATTTCAAAAGTATATTTTTTAAACGCGTTTTTATTGTAAACTAACTCTTAAATGTAATTCATATATATTCCTACATTCTACCATACTTTTAAAGAAAGACCAATATTTTGGTTAAATTAAAAATTATTAAATTCGAATTAATCGCTTCGATTATTTGTGAGTAAATCGTAAATTTATCACATCATATTGTCATCGCTCCGCGATATATATATCATCACAAAGCATATAGGAGAAAATAATGAAAATAGAGTGATCAAAAGCAAAAATTATACAGTAAAAAAATTGAAATTGAGTTTTGCGAGACTGAATTATGATAATGACTATATTGATACAATATGTTTGGGAGAAAGACGTTATTTTTAGTAATTTTTGAATCGTCGAGAAGGGACGAAATTACGTTAATTGGATAAAATTTCATTCCGTAAATGGTAAATACAATGCATTGTTGTTATTTGTTAATGCAATGGAATTTAACCTGATGCATCACACAAAAAATGTCTTAGATTTTCTTGGTTGATCTCTAGCTTAAAAACATAATCATTTTGAAAAAACACCCCCCCCCCCAACAATTAAGTCTAGTCACGATTAATATGAAATTGATAAGATAAAATAATAATAAATTATTAAATATTTTAAAAATTTATAAATATATGTATATTTTGTATATTTTTTGATCAGTAGTAAATTTAGTGGAATTAATGTATTATTTACGCAACTATAACAAATTTTCTTTGTTACATATATGTTTACTAAAAAATAAATAAACATTAAGCTGGTTCCAGGCGTGGTGTACTTCACGACGAAGCATGAGCCGAAGAAATTCTTATCCCTTTTATATATTGTCAATTATTCTTTAAACTATTTCATTAAATCTATTTTATTAATATCAAAATAGTAACTATTTATACAACTGGCACTTATCAAATAAGTTGATACTGATATATATATATATTTGACATTACTAAATAATAATTAAAATTTAATTCGATATTTTGTTATGTATTATTATATTATATTATTTTATTTTTTTTTTTTTTTATTGGACAATAAGTAGGTACAGATGTTTTTATAATTTATACAGACATTATTTTAATAGTTTCAATTTGAGCAGATGATTTGACGCATTTATTTATTTTTATTTGTCGATGAAATAATAGTTAATGATCACCAATTTTATTTAATCAATGTAGTTTTTAAAACCTAAGTATTTAGAATGTTTTTTAGTTTTATTTGTTTAAAATTAAAAAATACTTAAATGTTTTGTTTGTTCTAATGTTAATGATCGAGTCACCGTGGCAAATAGGTACCTATCTTTATATTTGAAACAACGGAATTACTGAATGCCAACGCATGCAACAGACGATTATCAGAATCAGAGTTTGTTGTCCGTTGACTCCAAAAAGTATCTTTAAAACCAAAAGTGTTGTTTAATACAATATCGATAACCTAATTTAACTTGACTATACTTAAGAGAATCTTAGCCCACTGTTTGTTTTCTCTCTCTGGCCCATGCGTAATATACACAAAACGCATTAACGCAGAATCATTTTTTTGATATATTTGAGTAATTATACGTAGATTAAAACACATATCACTAAAATTATAAAGGATAATATTTTTGAGAGTTTAACAAAACGATTTAGTATTCAACTTTCAATAAAAAAAAATATATATATATATATATATCTAAAATGTTTAAAATTGTTTTGAGACAATATTTATAATTTTTGTTATAGGTGATTTTACTTTAAAATTATTCAAAAACATTAATAAAATGATTCTACGTAAATGCGTTGTATCTATGTCACGTGTGGGCTAGAGATAGAAAACAAACAGTGCGCTGACATCCTCTTAAATGGATTGAAATAGATATCAGGATCATTTTTTAGAGTTTTAGGACATTTTATTAAAAACAACTAATGTACCTAATTCGTAGTAATCTTAGTCATTCGTATCAAATAATTCGCACTTAAACGAGATTCTAACGTTCTAAATCTTTAAAATTTGTAATATTAAAAACATTAAATTGTTTACAACGTTTTTAGTAAAAGTTTAGTTTTTTTGCTACGTACTGTACTTTTGTCTTCAAAGATATCAATATAATATTTCTATTCAGTGACTTGATACATTTTTTTATGACTTTCAAATTTTTAGCACTTTCATTGTGCATTTGTACAATGTTTTTAAAAAGCAGCAACATGTATTTTTAACACCAGATTTGAACCAATTTTTAAAATTATTTTTACCTTTTAACCGTGGTTCTAAAATTAAAATTTCTAAAACTTTCAATTTAAAATACTAAATTATTGAATTTTTCAAATATTTTTTTATGACTTATTTTTAATTGATTGTAATTCGTTCGATTTTGGTTTTGAAACCACGGTTAAAGTTTAAAGGTAAAAAAAAAAAACCACAAGTTATACTTATTGCTTATTCGCACATAAAAGGGACTAAACGTTTGAAAGTCGTCGAAAAATGTGTGTTTTTATATTAACTAGCAGCTGTTCTAGAAGAGCTCATTTCAATTTCGATGTCACCGGATAGAAATATTTCGTGTTAAGTACCTTTAAAACGATAAATTTTATTTTTAACGGCGACGTGCAGTACACCGACAGTCACCGAAATTCTTCTGATCAAATCCACTGAAACTATTACGTCTTTAATAATATTCCTGCACCACGGCCACCAGAGCGTGGAGCACGCAAATCGTTATAATACTATATACATAGTTACGTTTGTGTCGTTTTAATAATATAATATTACACTTACTCCGAATCGTGTACAATATATTATGTAACATATTAATAATAATATGTCGTATACCTACCGTTTTCACACAGGTAGGTACTTGCACAGTGTCTACGAATAAATCCTCCGTGGTAAAAACGCGTTAGCCGCAACGGAATGCTAATTAAAATCTATGCTAACATTTTTTGCGTAGATACCTCTGCGTATATATAACAATACGTAATGGACGCTTCGACGACGGATAGTTATTTATTGCGTACCGGCTTATTGGAGACCTTGCAGGTTTTTAATTCTGTTACTTTTGACGTGTGAGAAAATCTATTCGCGTACACAATATTATTGGAGTTCGTGCGGGGGTGGGGGCGGGAAGGGTAGAAGGTATCGCGACCGACATATGACTTCGAAGGAGGTCGGAAAAAAAGTTGACGAATATAAGTAACCGTACAGTATAGGTATCGAGTGTACTTCACCATTGATTGCTACGAGTCTCCGTGTTATGGATGTGTTAAATTTGAATTCAACGATATATGTACCTACATTTATCGCGGCATAATAATATTAACGTACGAACAGTTATTGTCGTATTTAGACTCAGAACTGACCGAGAACGTATTGATTTTACAACGACGTGTGTTTTTATCTTTTTTTCTTATTATTTGTGTCTAAAAATATTTATTTATTTATTTATTTATTTATTTTTTTTTTTTTGATAGAAAAATGCTCTGATCCTCGACCTTAATGAATATTTCTTGTAGAAAATTGAATCTAGTCGGTACTTTATAGGGAGATGATCAACTTCTCAGTATTTTTTAAAATGATTGGGTAAAAATAAAAAAATTTGAACATTTTAATAGTATTACCAAATAATTGATTGATAACCAAAGTAAAAGTATTGGATTGTCTTAAGTCTTCATTAAAATCCTTTTTTCTTTTTTCATCGTACGCAACGATATATATCGTCGAATTAAAATTTAACACGTCCATTACAGTTGTGCCTACTCAATGACAAAGTATTGACAGTTTTTTTTTTTTTTTTTTTTGAAAATTATTTTAATAAATATACCGAAAAATTTCTACTCTCAAGTTTTGACCCATCAAAGCATTAACTAGATCCAATTCGCTAGCAGATTACCAGAAACTTCCCTCGGAATTGATCATCGGAGAATTTTTTTTAATAGAAATACAGTGTCTTAGGACAATAAAATAGAAAAAAAAATCGAAAACACATGTCATTTTACATTCTGCAACGCTTTAAAATCGCTTTCCCTCGTCCGACGTACATGTGCGCCTGACAACAAAACGCGTATCGATTAGAATTTGGGGTCGACCTCACTTGTTTCGTCGTCCCGGTGCGTACTCATGCCGATGCCACGTGCAGCATGCTCGTAACGCGATTCTTTGGACTTGACAAAATCACAACGCGGTGTGTACAGTTTGACCGTATTTGGTTATTTCATGGATAAATGTTGCTAATATTAGCGCGTCGGTCGCTAACCGTCATCGGACATCACCGCGGACGCGCATAAATACTGACGTGCGGTTTTGCACGCCGCCGACGTTTTTCGCGCACTCATTATACCCGTTCGCATTTTATTCGTCTGATTGCTATTATTTATTAATTGATTAAATTTTTTTTTTTTTTTTTTTGGGGGGGGGAAGGGGGTATACATAGATTAATATAATCAACCGAACCTTAACGCTTACACGACATAATAAATGCTAAATCACTACACTCCTAGTTTTTTATCTGCACTCAACATACCTACACCTAAGAAACGTTTATTGTTATACAAGATTCGACATTGAGTTATAATAATTATTTATCATTATGTAAAACAATGAACATTTGAATCGTCTTAAAATTCAAAACCATTTTTATTTTTTATTTTTATTTTTTTTTTTTCATTTGTAAGTATAACAATAATTGAGTAATAATATTTTATTAAGTATTATAGTCTTGTCGTTATGTTAAACTAACGATGTTATAAACTAAAAGGCTGATAAATTTATTTTACAATTTTTGTTATACTTACTTACGTAGTATGATATTTTGATATTATATGTTAAGCGGTTTAATGGTGGATTACATTTTTATTTAAAATATTGTAATCCTAACATTTTTACGATTAAAGTTATCTCAAAAACAATTTAAGTACCTATATAATATACTCTAATTTTATTACTCGTATGTTTTTAAAGCTATTAAAGGAAATAAATCTGAACATGGTTTTAAGTATTATTAGCATACATTATTATGTTATAGCAGAACATTTTTATATTTATTTATTAAAAGCTTGATAAAAACTATGTGCCAAATTTTTATTTTTATTTTTTTAACCTGAGAATCCTATGAGATCGGAAGATGTGATGAGTTAATACATTTAGCTCGGTTTTTCAATTATAATTACAGACTATTTGCGCCAGAAGACTACGCAAACAGCTACTACAGCACTTTAATATTATATATAGGTACTGTTTTTACCGAGGGCCATCACAAAACATAAAATAATAATAATCAAATAAATAAATAAAACGATAATATGTAGTACAACTGCAGTCGTGATGTCAACAAATATAACGTCAACTAGCGCCTGGGTGGTGATGGACGTGTGCCCGCGTGAGCTCATCACAGTAGTCGGTATAGGTGTGGTCAGTCGTATTCGTGAGTTAGCAAATTGTGTTCACAAGCGGTGTGTCCAAAAGCAGAGTATTATATTATGACGGTAAAGCAAAATAATAAAAATAAAAAAAAAATAAAAACGGATGTAAAAGATTACTAGGTAAAAAAAAAAAACCAAATTAAAAAAAAAAAAAAAAACTAAAACAAACTAAAACAAAATGATGGCCCAATAAATAGTAGCTTTTTGATTATAGCGATTAATTACTTTATTATAATATATTATATAGACATTATCATTATATAATTTCGTATTTTCATAATTCGGTTAGTTGGAATAAGACAAAAGGACTGAGCTGAGATTACGAGGTTTGAACTCTTATAGTTTTATCCAACACAAAACAATTTCAAATGTACTGAAATAGAAATATAGTCATGAACAGCGTATACTGGTGACGTTTCTCGTACATGATAAATTACTATTATGTAATGCATTATGTTCAAACATAATGTACATATACATTTTTTCTTTATGTAAAAATAAAACTATCTGAGCTCGAAACAAATTCAAATGACAAAAACATGTTAGTTTGATAAAAAAATTATTTATACTATATTTATTGGGCATTTAAAATTAAATATATATTTTTTTTTTTTTAAATGATAAATAAAACATTAAAATAATAATAATAAAATCGTGCTAATCGTATACAATATCTGTGTAAGTGAAATGATATTATAAGCTATGACTTAATTTAAAAAAATACATTTACAATTTTAATGAAAAAAAATATTTCATAATATTATGAGTACACAAATAAAGGATGTTTAGTAACTGTACAATATACTCTTCAGCCGCGTTAAAATGTAATGAAGCTCTTGGCACTAAACCAGCTGTGCCGTCAAAAACTGAACTTTATTATATAGAATTTAAATATTTCAAAAACAAACACTTATGGAACACAAATTTTTTCTTAGAATAAATAGTAAAATATTGATTTTTTTTTTTAATGTATTAAAATAATGTATTAGTTATTTAAAAAAAAATCGATATTTTATAATAATAGAATGTTTAATATAACATCTATGTATATATTATATATATATATACTTAAATAATTCGATTGTAAAGTGTGATACGTGTTCTGTCGAATATTGATTATGATTAATATAGTAAATAACGTTATTTACTTAGACAAATAAGAAAGTACAACGAGATAAACAAGATTGACTAGGGGAAGACTAGATTTGTTATCAAATATCGATGTAGATATTATAGTGACTAGAAATGTTAGAAGTGTGTACCTATATTATATATTATAAATCAATAATTATTAAATCAAAAAAAAAAAAATAATAATAATAATAATTATTACTATAGTAAAAATAACATCAAGAAATCGCAATGTTTTTTTTTTTTTAGTGTGTTATGCGCAATATGTGAGTGTGTTTGAAGCATTGGACAAAAAAAAAAAAATAAAATAATATGTTAAGTCTTGTGTAAATTCCTTGTTTTTTCATTTTTTTTTTTTTTCAAGACGAGACACAACCACCACCGCCACCGAAATAATCGTGTCAGGGGTGCATTCACCACATTAACGAGAACCGTTTTTTTTTCGGCACATGGTTAACGGAGATTTTCTTTAGGCACGTGCTGGCCACATTTCTTCGCGGTTTAAACAAGTTTACCTGTAGGCCGACTTTAATGCGCTTGGTAAGCGCTCCTTGCGGGAATACCGCCTGCACCTGTGGCACCACCGTCGACGAGACCATACCGCCCTCCGGCCCGATAGCGTGTACTTCTTGCTTGACTCTGGATACGATGGCAAAGTAATGCGGAAACTCTGTAGTCACGATCCGCGTCAGACGGTTACCGGAATGCCACGGGTCGCGGTCTGAAAAAAATAACATAATCCATTTTTATTAAAGTGCAATTTTTTCATTCGTCAACTCAACGCGTATACATTGCATGTTATCAGACTATTATACATTTTACATAAATGAAAAATATTTAAAAATATTTTTGTAAATTCATCCAAGTTCTCTACAGTGTGTTACTTGGTTGAGTATAAAAATGCGTTTCGAGGACTCTATATTATTATTTTTATTATTATTACTATACTATTACTGAAGTATTGTACTTAATGGGGCTGAAAATTTTTATTTTAATTCAAACTTTGTACGTTTTATAAAAGTTTAAAAATTTACATAAATAATGTTATTAGTATATATTGATGTCTAGATGTCCATCAATATTTTTTAGTACTTTTAAGTTATAAATACCTTCTTTTTCAAAGTTCGCTCCGAGTATGTCTTTGACGACTTCATCCGTCACCTCAACCGTGTGTTCCCTCCACGTCTCGCCATTTTCCGATCTGAGAACAACGATTTCTCTTTCAGATCCACGGAGTGATCCGAAATTCGGTACTTCGATCATAACGGGCCTGCAAACGATAAGCAATATTGTTTCGTTGAGTACTATTCCAGGGTAGAGTAACACCGTATTATCAAATAATACTATCGCTAATTATCGTAGAATAGATTAGTTACCCCAAAAACTTAGCTCCCACAGGACCGAGTTCAAGTATTCTACTAGCTAGCGATTCGCCTTCCATCAACGGCGGCGGGTGCACCAATTTTTCACGTCTTAAATATCGGCAAGTCACACGTGTTGGCATGGATGCTCGTCGAGGTGGTACGATCACGCGGACACCACTGTGCCGGCATCCACGCATCGCTCCGCCGCGAGCGTCCACCAAGAAGCTAACCAAAAACCTGTAATGATTCCAAATTATACGTTAAGAATGCTGATAAAATTGAATTCATACTCTTGAACAACTATACAATAATAAAAACTAGTGCTGAACAACGTCACGATCATTCAAACATTTAGTGTGAAGAGTGTGGTGCGATTGATAGATCAGACGATGTGCAGCATTAGTTGGTATAATATTATAATAGTCGTTCTCAAGTATTGATTATTATGGATTTTCTATATTTTAGGCATGTATCTAAAATTATATTATTCTATTTAACTAAAACGCTTTACTATATCTTTGAAATATTTATTATAAGCATTCAAAAAATTACTACTGGTAAAAATCTATGATCTTGAAAACATTACACGGTATTATAATAGTATTATGTATTTTTAAAAGCCTTACGTCTTCCATTGTAAACGTCTGTCCGAAAGTACGCATATTGAAACAATAAACAATTTTGTTAAATAATTTACAATAGTTTTGTTAGCCGGCTTAAACGGTAAAAAACGTGTATTTCCAGTTTACTTACCCAACGTGAGGTGGATATTTAACAATGTCGACATTATCCACAGGGCCGCTGTAACTGTCATAGACGGTCTGTGGACTGATGGCTTCGTCGATGGATGTGGGGGGTACTAAAACGTAAACAACAAAATATTTATAAAGTGTCTCATACGTGTACCGTGTGGCCAATTTTTGCTCATCCAGTACAATATCCATAAATTATAGAAAAAATAATCTTATGTTTTTCTTACCAGTATTAACGTCATATCTCTCATCCCGAGTGACATCGATAGGAGCTGATTCGTCGCCGAAACCCTTCATTTCCTCTCCTGTTAAATACCTGTATGATTGTTCATTTATCATTGTCTCTTCACCTGGTCAATAAAATTATATTTAAATTACAACATTAACAGATATTAAAAACAATACAAAATAAAATAAATAATCCAAAGTTTCTATGAATTAAAATAAGTGTGTTTCTACAATTTTAAATTTACTAGAATTATAAAAGCACATGCTTTTAAAAATAAATACATGCTTTAACTGCCCATAAAATATTAATACTTTTATAATTACATATTTAATATTGCTTAACAAAAACGAACGACACAGTATTAGATTTGAATAATATCCAAGAAACAAACAGATGAAACGATATACGATGGCCTGAATTGTATTTTTAAATTATTTTAAAGAAAACAATGGAATTAATTATACACAGAAATATGATTTACTTCTAAAATATCATCCATTTACACAACCTCATTGGCTTTTAAAATTTTGGAAATAAATATTTTTTAGATTTTGTTCTATAATGTTATTATTACTTATATATATTTGTAAAGTAATATGACTGGGTAGTTTCTCTATTCATGTGATTCTCATTTTTTCTTTTATGATTATTGTATTACTTAAAACAAATTGAAAATAAAAAAAATTTTAATGACATTCTATTCTAACGTGGATTGATATTCTGCATAAATTACATAAATTCATAAGATTTTACAATAAATGAAGACAAGATTAATATTTGATAAACCCAAAACAGAAGATCAAACAAAAACTAATAAATCAAATAAGTAAATAGAATATCACGAATATTACTTGTTTAATTGTAAAAAATATATTAATTAAATAAATGCATATAAAATATAAATTAGAATTTATAAGGTACTTATCATTTTTGTATGTAAAATTGTACATCGTTTTAAATTTTAAATGCGTTTTATTTTGTTATGCATAGAGTTAATACAAATATGACTCTATTATTCAAAAGGAAGTAATGTAAAATTTTTCTTTATTTATTCGATGATGAATTTCGAAAACTATAAAACGCTATAAATGTATGTGTTTTTCTAACCTGGAAGATTTTCTTCTTCTTTTTGTTTTTTAAAACAGCAACAACAGCAAAATCTCCGTTTACACATGATGACAATTTATTTTATTTTATTGTTATAATTTTATAATTAATTTGAAAAATTTAAGATAGACGAATACAGCGACCTAGATATGGTACCGTCGGAATAGGCAGACAGCCGACAACTAAAACTTAAAAGTTATTTTTATCAATTTTTTCCTCTCTAAAGTTGATCCATTATTATGATGCTGGTGAAGCCAAAGCGCGAAAAATCCGAAATGAGGAAAGCCAATGACGAAACGACCGGCACAGTGCCAAACAGTAGTAAGTTAGCTGACCAGATGGCCGGTCATATTTAATTTTAAACGAACACTTCTAGTACTACTCGGAAAAACTGGAACATTCGACATTTATGCATATAATAATATCTCAGTCGACACTCGACGCTCAATATAGTAATGGCATATAGTATTAATGGCCTTTAAATCCATACAGTTTAATATTATATTTAAAATGGATCTAAAAAAAAAAATATTCTATATTTAACGTACGGGATTTAATAAAAAAATAATAAGACAAATCATATTTGGATACGCGGAAAGGTATACCAATTACTACCACTATTCGCATGCAATGGTCATTCGACGTAAAAATTAAGTACTGCACTAATAACATTGTTTATTTTTCAACACTAATTAATAGCTTTGATGATGATGGAAGCACACTGATGGTAAGTCTACGTGAATCCCGTTCATAATATACTGACACCGGGTTAACCGGGTAGTAGGTCGCGTGAAACGATTTCGTTTTCTGCACGACCCGAGTTCAATATATTCCGAATGGACCGTGACTGTCTAGAGGCTGTTGGGTGACAGCCAATCATGAATTTTGAACTTGGCTATTAATTCATGCATGTTGACTAATACCATAGGTCCAAATTTTGTTTGTTTATTATTTATTTTTCTACTATACAAAACTCACGTGACGAAACGATAACATTTTGTGTTAGTTGAGTTCTAGTGTTGAGACCATACTCGACGCTTCCGCTTTGCAAAACGTCACCTGTGTGCCAATCATCATCCCAATCACATACTACAAGCATTTGTTAGTGAAATCACGCTCGCGCAACACTATACATGGAAGCGGGCACACTTTCTAATATTGTATTGTGCTGTAGCCAGTGGCGCAACTAGGGGGCGGGAATTAGTATAAAAGGGTTGAGCCCTCCAAAATATTTGATCTTTTTTATTTACATTTTCGGTGTCGTAAAAACTTGTTTATTGAAAAAAGTTTTGTTTGTTTAAAACATACTAATACGACTTTACTGTAAATTATTACTATTGATATTATAGAATTTGTATTTTATACTTCATATTGCAGTTGTTCTATTTTAAAATTTATTTCTAACTGATATTAATAGCTCGGAGGCGGAAATGTACATTGTGAAAAATATATCAAAGACAAAGTCTATACACCAACATACATATTATTTAGTAGGGACTGTAGTTCCCCACCCCTAATAAAATTATGACTCAAGTTGCGCCTATGGCCGATTCCACATATTAGTAACCATTGAAAATGGCAAATCAAAACTCACATATAAAATCACTTATGATACAAATGAATATCACATTTTTTATTAAATGTATTAATACAAATATAGATTTAAGAAATAATTATTTAAAATATATTTCAAATTATATTTGATTGGTAAAAAAAAAAAAAATTATAGGAATTCGTGAAAATATGTGGTTTATTTTATTTTTATGATATTAATAACATTTCTTATTTAAAGTATTTAACAAAAATATTTACATTATTTATTATTTTAAATGTATTAATGTATTGTCTTATTATTAAATAAAATAAACTAATGTAAATATGTTATGTATTTTATTTATATATTTTCATTACTGTGGAGATCTTAATGGACTTAATGTCATATAATTTATCAAAAAAAAACTGTTATAATATTTTTTTTTTTAATACTAAATATTTATCGTATTTTTCTTGAATAAAAAAAATTAGCATATTAACCTTGCAAAGTAGAAAATTGAATAAAAATAAATACAATTTAGTGAAATACTAATGAAAAAATATTTTTTTCTTTAATCAACATCTGAATTGCGATAATATAAATAAATGGTAAAATTATCATTAAGTGTTTCTTTAAAATAATTTTATGCTTATAAATTTGATTTTAGCCAGATCTATTCGTTTTATTACCTATTTTATTATTTAGTAGTCTAGCGGTGATCTATACAACTTATATTTATGTTAGTATATTTTCGTTGAAATTACTAACTGTTTATGTTTTTTTATCTACGCTTTTATCTCGCCTTAAAACAATAGTAACAATAGTGTATATGGACATTTTATATACAGAAAAAATTAAATAATTAGATTTTATAATTGTATTTTATTATATTCGTTATTTTCTTTGGTCTACAATAATTTACACGTAACATTAATGACAAATGTGCAAATTACTTAAAGATATTGAATAAAACAAAAAATGTACGAGGCTTTAATTCATCAAAATTTTTTGATTTTCCGACACATTTAACATACTTTTTATGATTTTAAAAATTTAATATATATATATATTTATGTATGACAATTTTCAATTAAAATAATTGATAAAAGGTTAAAAACTTCCGTACAGATTTGATCATTTCAATTCATACATGATGAAATAGTGTTTAAATTGTTGCTATTGTAATTTTGTGATATTAACATTATATATATACTATAAATAAATGAATTGTATTTAAATATGCATTTGATATTTGTCAAACGTACAATATATTATAGAAAATATCCTGATCTAGATATACGTAATTTTATAAGAATTGTTTTCTTTTTAAAGGTTTTTTTCTTATAAAAACTCAGATTGCACTTTTGTACGCGTAAATGTATGACTAATATTTGATGCATTGATATATTATAAATATATAGGATATATATTTTCTCAAAGTAAAAGCTTTATTTTTTTGAAATTGCTTGCAGTATATTTCTACGGTGAAATTGAATTATTTTATTATCAATTATATTGTTATTGAATATTAATACAATAATACATAACCTGTTAAAATCACCCTTGGTAATGTATTTATTTTTGTATTGTATATTATGATTATAATTATTTTACGTACCTCCTTCATCTTCTGAGTCTGACATAAATGTTTCTTGCATGGTTTCTGGAGAAATTACTTTGTATTTTTCGTCTGAAGTTGATGAAGGTACTGCTTTGGTAACATTCTTCAAAGCTTCTACTACACTTATGTAACCCAATTTTTGAGAAATTGACAGGGCTGTTTGTCCTTGCTATATAAAATAATAATACAATATTTAAAATTATAAACATTTCCAAGATATTAAAATAAAAATTTGAAAATTTATATCATTGCTATTTTACGGCTTGTACATGTTTATAACGTTCAATCAATACCATTTTCATTACTAATTCAATACTTACTATCTTATTACAGGCATTAATTTTATACTTTTAATGGAAAATATAGGTAAATAAGCTTATTTTGTAACCTGTTCTACAAAATAATTAATAATTAAATAACTGCCTAAATAAACAATCTTGTTAAGAATACTTTTCAAATGTATTTAGAATACGTATTTAAATAATTAGTCTTAGCTTCGTTTGTATTTGACCATCTATTTTTAAAATTATTTAAAAATAAATCCTTTTTTTTCAGTTTAATAAATTTGATATTGAAATATTTGTTTATTGTTTAGATATAAATTATTTCTATGTATTTACATAAATGACATCGCCATGGGTGTAACTAGGATTTTAATCAGGGAGGAAGAGGGGGGAGTTAATAACTTTTTTTTTGCTTTTTTCTCATTTTATAGTAAAATTTATACGTTTGGTATGAGAAATAGAATTTAGTTTGAAGTGCCCCCTTGCTCCACCCTCATTGCATTGTAATGTTACAAGAATTTAATTATACTCTTCATTAAATATTTAATTTATTTGGCATACTAGGATTTTTTTGCTTAAGAAGGTATAATATTTTTAATTCAGTTCATGACATATATTGTTTAACATAATGAAGTTAGCCATTTTTAATTAAATAAAATAATTATTTTAATTTATTCATTTTCTAAATATTAATTATTATTTATGTATAGTATTATTAAAAATAATTTTTCCAGAATATTTTGAATTGTATTGTCGTTTTTAATATAGGTACCCTTTTCATAAATTAAGAATTTCCCTCTCATTAGATATTATAGATGTATTTTAAATTATTATTTTCATAGGGACGCATTTACTCTTCGGTGACTTATAACCAATTAAATTACATGTTTATTAAAAATTTAAATTGAATATTTTTACTTACACTTGTCAATAAATCTGGATCAGCTCCTTTATCCAATAAATGGCTTACAATGGTAGAATGGCCTTGTTGAGATGCTTGGTGAAGTGGTGTATATCCCGAAGCTGTAGTCGCATTAATATTAACTCCTTGACGAGCAGTTATGAATCGAACCATATTTAATTGACCAAAATGACAAGCGACGTGTAAGGGAGTAAATCCAGCCTAGTATTTAAATATTTATATACTTTTAGTAAAACTTTTTTATTAATAGTTGAAAGAATAAACAAGATAATAATGTTGACTTTTTAAGCTTATAAAAACAAACAAAAAAGTTATTGATTTATAGATTTATATTAAAAATTTGTTTTATTCTTTAGGTTGATACAGGCTGACCACACTAATTAATATCAAATAGGTAAAGTAAATTATTACTTTAGTTTCCGGATTGATATCTGCATGGTAATTATCCAAAACAACAGCTACTTTATGTTTGTCTTCTTGTGCGGTGAGATGCATTGGTGTTAAACCGTTCTGTAAAATACATTTAACGTTTAAAAAGATAATTATGATTTTCATAAGCACTATTTGTACAACTCACCTTTGATTTATAATTAGGATCGGCGTTGTGGTTCAAAAGTAAAGTGGTCATTTCAACATTACCTTCCTGAGAACTAAGATGAAGAGGAGTAAATCCTGCTTTTGACTCGGCATTTGCTTTTGCTCCATAGTCTAATAATGTTACTGCAATATCCATCTAAAACACATATCCCTTACATTATATGCATTTGGCATTTAATTATTAAATAGAAAAATTCTTCCAAACGATCAATCTAATACTAAATAAACAATAATTTATATTAAATATTTCACAATTATTTAAGTTATATAACTGAACTAGTCTTTTAAAAGGGATTCGGTGAGACAAAATAGTAAATACCCTTCTAATTCAAAACATTTTTAATGTAAAATATAATTCGACTAATTTATAAATACAAATCAGGTATTATCAAGATATTAACTACATTTTTAGCTAATATTCTTAGTAAAAATTAAAATACGAGTTTTAGTTTAACTGAATAAAAAAAATGATGATATTTAATTTGATTTTATATAATATATTATGTTAATAAAAAAAATATAACTCGTTCAAAAAAATTTTAAATTTAAAACAAAATCCTACATCAGTTTTTAAAAAAATATTTAAAAATATTTAAAATACCTAGGCACAATTTATTTTTTATAAAATATTAAGTTCAATACTTTATTATAATATCATAAAAATATCATGAAATATATTTAGTGATATAGGCTGATTGACCATCTCCACTCAGAATCGTTTTTCGTATACAATACTATATCATAAAATTTAAATTTAACACGTCTTTCTATAGTGACCCACTTGATATACCTACCATACAGCAAAGTAATAACCCACTTAACCAGTACTTTTTTGGAAATCATATGAATACATTTGTTCGTTAATGCAACAATAGATAAATTTAGCTATGTAAGTAATACCAAGTGAATACTTAATACACCTTAGATGTAAGTAAAAAATAAATTATACAGCCTATCATAAATACATGATTGTGGAATAAATAATTTTTATAGTCTTTTTTCTATGTTTTTTTACGTCTACTTGATTAGTGATATTTCATATTGAATTCAAATTTAATATATCCATTACAGTGACCCACTCGACATCTATACCATAAAAAAAGGCGATGTCCATTTGCCTATCTATTTCAATTTTATATTATACAATTGTTATTCACCCAAAACTAATATTATTTAACCATTGATATAATATATATATGATAAATTTGTTCTAAATTTAAACTTAAAATTTATAATACTTTTTGCCATAAGATGTAATAAATTACCTGATTCTTTTTTGCTGCTATATGAAGTGGTGTGTGGCCATTTTTTGCTGTGGCATGAGGTGATGCCTGTTTGTCAAGCAACATTAAAGCAACAGCTTGATTATCATAATGACTTGCTACGTGTAGTGGTGTTACGCCGTTCTAAAGATTAAAATTATGGAAAAATTAAACTAATATATTAGGTAAGCTAACATACTAATTTAATATTATATCTTTATTTTTCCTTGGTTAAAATAATTATCATAATTATTCCTTGACTAAAAAAGGAATATATTTATAGCTGTGTTAGATTTTTTGACTAGTGCTAACTATTATAACTAGTACAAATTGAAAAATGAAAAGTTAAAACATTATTTTTATTTCATGTATTATTAGATTTTAAATTTATAGTGAATTGATTATTAAAAACCTAAAAAGTTTAAAAATGTATAAGTATTTTAAACTGTTCAAATATGGTTCTTTGAAAATTATAACAACTTATTAGGATAATAAATATTTATTGTTAAAATAAACCATTTTATTATACTAAGTATATACCTCCTTTGTTAAATCACTTAATTAACTATATTTTATAAGTAATATAATTAAACAACGTGAAATTACGTAAATATTTTAAATAAATTACTAATTATTTAATGTTTATCATTAGTACTAATTAATTTTATTAAAAGACACGCGTAATTTAAATTCTTGATTAATATTTAATTTACAAGTACAAGGAAAAAACTGTCACATGAAGAATTGATTCTATACTCAACAATTTATTTCTCTTTCAATAATTAAAATTTATAATTTTTTCATTTATCAGCTAATTAGCTTCTTATACTTTTCTTTAGATTTTAGAATTAATAATGTATATTAGTCTTAAGTAAAATATTTTACAAAAATAGAAAATATTTGGTGTTATATAGAAGAGATTGACCTCGTCCTCCTTAGAACAACTTTTAGCACACCAATCTACTCATTAAATTATTTTTTTTTTTTAATCAGCTATAAGTATAGTAATAAAAATAATACGTGGGTACACATAATGCTCATCTACTACCTATTATTACTATAATTTATTAATAGTAAATTTAGTTTAAATAGTAATATTTATAGTAAAATTCATTATAATTACATATAATTCCTCTATTTTAGAATTGTAAAAAAAATAACTATTAAATAAAATATTAACCGTCATTATACAATATATTATTTATATTTATTGTTAATTGAACGTCAAATTAAACTAAACGTTATTTTTAATTCATGGAATAAGTAAAATGAATGACATAATATTAATCATTTCCAGCAATAATTTCTCTTATCAAACTAAAAAAAAGAATCAATTCAAAAAGTAGGGATTCCCAAATTATTGGTCACGTAAAGCTTAAATATATATAAATAGATAGATAGATAGATAAATGTTTTATATTATAAAATTATATTAAATGATCTATTAAGTTTATAGTATATATAATGTAAAAAAATGTAAATAAATTTTATATAAATAAGAGTTAATAAATATGATATAGTCAGCATCGGATCTAGGGGGGGGGGGGGGGCTGGGGCACGTGCCCCGGATACTAAACATAAAGGGGCGTAAATTTTTAATTATGTAATAAGTAAAAAAAAAAAAGAAAAGATTATTGATATAGAAGGGCGCCAATTTCATATTTTGCCCCGGTTTAAAAAAATGTTAGATCCGGCACTGGATACAGTATAATCTTATAACTTTTTTCTATACTAGATACATTTATTATTTTACATTGATATCAAAATGTAGTTCTATCGTTATTCGTGGCAACCACGAATATTTAGAAATCAGAACGACGTGTCGCCACGAAGCTGCCAAATTAAAATTATCGCGAAAATAGCGATTAGTTAATGAAACAAATTTATGAAATAAACAAGAATCATCTTATGTTGTGGATCGTACCATGAAAAGTTTAGGAACTTTTGTCATTATATATCTTATAGTTTATTAATTAAATAAGATACAAAATGAATTTCATAACTTTATTTGATAATACAGTTATTTGAATAAAACAATAAGTCTTATGTGAACGTACATTAAAATAATATTCTTAAAGGATTAAAATTACAATTATTTAAGCTCTATTTATAAAAATTTTAATCTCAGTGCTTCCGTTTGACCCCTTTTTTAGATACTAATCACTTCTTTGAATCAAATCTCTAAATTATCAATTTTTTAAGTTAAAGGTCTTTATAGTAATTTTTCAAGTATTATCACCAGTTAAAACTAATTTTTATAAAAACAAATGTGTTTTCTCATTTAATCTAATACAAGACATGTTTATATGAAATTTCGGCCAAAATCTCGGGAATACTATAGACCTAATAATATTAGTGTAGTTGTATATTAATAAGTCTATGGCAAAAATAGTATTTTTAAGAAATAAAAAATAGATAACCGACAAAACATCATCACAAGATTATTATTATATTTCGCATGTTGTCAATAACCAAATAATATTGCAAGCTAATTATTTACAATCAAGCATATAAATTATATCCAAAGCCGTCAAAACGAACTGTTTTTATAAAATGTTTATAACCCCATTACATTAATTACAGTTAAACATGAAAAGTTCATTTGTTATTTGATTGATTAATCGATATAATTAAGTTCTTTAAAACTATTTTTTTATAATATATTTAAATATATTAGATGGATATTAAATGACTATTTTAATAAAAATTAAATAGTTCTGTTACATTGTAATAAATATTTTTGATACTATTATAAACTTATTTAATGCTGAACAATAAACAGGAAAAATTAACAGTAATGTGGCAGTACATTATAAATTTTCATTTATTTATAAGTCACTATAGTTATACCTTATACCGAGAGCACTGAAAGTTCTATAGTCATGATTAGAGGTCGGATTTATATTCTCTTAAAATCCTTAAAATATGATGTTTTAATGTCATTTAAAATAGGCAATATATGACTCATAAGTCATAATATACTTCTATAAGCCATGCTGAGTCTATCATAATGAAAAATACGAAATGAGTGCTCAATAACTGATATTTTAACCTTACGAATGTTTTTAATGTAACATCATTTGAGTGTATCTAGTATAATATTTAAGATAAATATAAAAACTATATTTTTATTAGTTACCATTTTCAATTACAAGACCTAAAAATATTGTATAAGAGCTCCTAGCCTTATTTTATAATTTATATTTTTGATTCTAATCAAAAACCAAAAAATCTAGTTTTAAAAATAATTGTATAAAGATATATATTATAGTTATCAGTTTTTATTATTAAATTATATAAAATATATAAGTAACTCTATATTTTGTATAGCCTCAATACATTTTAGTTAGAGTAATAAATCGAGATCAAACTACTTTAATGAAGATATATAATATACATATCTACTTAAAATGATAGATACGGCATTCTGATCACATTCTATTAAATATGTATTTATAATTTATATTAAAACTTTTAATATATCTATGTTTATGTGTTAAAATGTAGTATATTTTTCAAAGAAGTTCAAAAGTTCATATTCTAAAAATATTGTAGTTATCAAATCATTACTAACCTTTCCTTGTGCATCAACTGGAGCTTGTTTTTGTAACAGCAACTTGGTGACTTTAATATTGCCGTATTTTGATGCCAAATGTAGTGGGGTAAACCCTTTTTTAGTAGTTGCTGTCACTGAGGCTTCATTCTCCAACAACACTGATGCAACCTGCCAACAAAAAAGTCCAGTGTTTCTCATTCATTATCAGTTATGTCAACTTATTAATTTTTGTACAATATTTTACAAAATTTAAGCTTGTTAAAAGTAATTAATGCTGTTAGATATTTTTTCTATAGATAAATTCAAGCTTTTAAAATATGTTTATACATTGCATCAGTGTTGTGAAGCTAAAGCCTGTGCCCATGATAAATAGTTTACAGCCAATAAGTCAATATAAAGTCATAATAAATATATTATTGAGTTAGGATAGTTAGGCTATGATATTTAGCCACATTTAGATATGGTAGGAAAATGGAAAATATTTATAAGAATAACAAAATTTCAGGACTTACCAAATCAATGAATATCGATTTTACCAAGTACCAAGTGACTTGCTTGACTTTTGAAGATAAAAGAAATTTAGAATGGAAAAATTACATTTTAATTGCGGTGGCTTGACAAAAAAAAAAAATATATAGGCAAAGCGAACAAAAACGTGTTTATAAATATTTGATATTTTTTTTTTAATTTAAGAAAACAACAATGACAATGATTAAGCATAAAATATTCACATTCATATTCTAGTTTTGTTTTTTAACGGTGATTAAACTATTATAAAAAGATGTCTTTTGAATTTTAACAACGATTAAGAGATCAAAATAATGCTATAATATAACATTTATGTCATGTAAACTTTTATGAAACTTAAAAAAAAAACTAACAGCACTATATATTCAATATATTATAGTATATCATCATCATCTAATATGACAACTTTTTAAAGTTATAAATGTAAATCTATGATATTTTCTAAATTCTAACATTCACAGTAATAATAATTAAACCGTTTAACAATAATTTATAAGTGCAATTTTGCTAATAATATAATATAATCATTAATCATATTATATAGTTTAATTATTTATAAACAACTCTTAAAAGAAAAAATATTAATTTTGAACTTAGTTTTGGGTCTATGTATAATATAAGTAAATCACTGAATCATATACAATTATTTAGTTTTATTTGGTTTTAATTTGGGAATAAAAATCAAAATATGAATAATTTATTAGATTTTTACGCACAATTCGATCACAATATTTTAGCAAATTTTAAAGTATTAAATTATACATCGAAATATAGACTTGATGATAAATATATTGAATTTCAAACCTTTTTATAACATAAAAAAGGTTATGATAGGTTGGGATTAACGATTATTATGACACAATTAATACGATAATAATACTGATTTATAAAAACCATAAATTAAAAAAAAAAAAGAAGAAGCTAATTTGGCACAGTACGTATGTTTTCCTCATTTCTTATTGCTTTTTAATTTATATGTATTAAAAATTAAATTAGATTATTTATTTTTATTTACGAAGAATACGAACACATTTCGATGAAAATAATATGGCAGTGAATCCTTTGTTCAGAAATAAATTACGTCATACTCAAACTATTTAAATCAACAAAATGTTAGAAGGACACTTTAATTCATATTCTTATAATTGATGAAAATTAAAAAAACGTATTTAAAGCTTACAAAAATCATTATTGGCACCGAAATTTGAGTATGAATGCATAATTACTTTTAATATACAAATTAAAATTATTTTAGAATAATTATATTTGTAGCATATTTTCAATTCGAATATTAAAATCACTCGAGTAAGAATTCCTCTAAACGTAATTAAATTGATAAAACTATTATGGTTTAAACAACTGATTGGTCAAAATTTGATTAAAACAAAACCATTAGGCATTTCTGACGCGGATTAAATATCACCAGTTTTTCTCGATCCAATTATAAGGACGTACGTTGAACTCAAGTACCAAATATGATGTAAAGATATTAAAAGGAAAGACTCACAATATTTAATTGTTTTAAATAAAATATTCTCTTCTAACAGACCAAAACTTATCAAGCAAATATGTTGTGTCCACGTGATCCATAATGCGTTTCATAATCAGTGCTCTTACCTCCTCCTGGCCCTCTTTAGAGGCAATATGTAGAGCGGTGTATAGATCTTTCGTGGTCGAATCGACTGCTGCGCCGTGTGCTAACAGCAACATGACGATGTCCACGTTACCCAACCTGGAAGCTATGTGAAGCGGCGTTTGCTTTTCCTGTATAATTGACAAATATTAATAATGCGTATCGGACCAAAAAACAACGTACAATTCATACGTACCCTAGCCCTGGCATCCACTTGAGCTCCGTTGCGGAGCAATATACGAATAATATCTGTCTGATTGGCTCTGGCAGCTAGATGCAACGGCGTTTCTCCTCTCACAGTCGGCAGATCTGGATTGGCCTCGTGTTGCAACAGGAAAATCACGATGTTCATACAGCCCATGAAGCTGGCGACGTGTAACGGAGTGAGACCGGACTATATAGTAATATAAAAACAATAACCGTTATAAATATCGATAATATATACTAATTGATTAGGTATCGTATTCTCGGTTTGTGAAATCGACTACCATTGATTAGACGGCGTTTATAATAAATGGGTGTACATATATATGCAAGTAAGTATACTAACTTCTGTAGTCGCTTCTAAGCTCGCGTTGTACTTGAGTAGCAATTCCACAACTTTGATACGGTTCTTCTTGCATGCGATGTGCAACGGCGTAAAACCGTTCAATGCTCTAGCATCAGGATCCGCGTGTTTCTCCAATAAAAGTTTAGCCACACGGATGTGTCCGCAGTGGGCTGCCACATGAAGACCGGTCAAGTAATCTACAGTCACGTCGTCGACGGGAGCATTATTGGACAATAACACCTTAGCAGCTTCCACGTGATCTCCTTGTGCCGCCATGTGCAATGCCGCCAAACCGTTCTATAAACAAAAAATAAAATCGTATAAGTATAACTTTGATTTTTCTTTCCATTTCAAATTAAATAAAAAACATCTCTAAACATTTTTTATTATTATTATTATTATTATTATTATTATTATAAGTATTATTTTACTTGATTTTGATTTATAATGACTAATAAAGCATAAAATCCAAACCAACCTTGGTCTTTGAACTAATTGGAGCATTTCTTTGTAGAAGCATGTCAATAACTTGATCGTGTCCGGATCTTGCAGCACAATGTAAAGCCGTTAAACCATCTCTAGTTTTAGCTTCAATATTTGCACCGCTTTCGAGCAACAAAGATACCATGTTACTTTTACCCCATTTCGCTGCCACGTGTAATGGAGTTATGTTATGCTATTGGAAAATAAAATTAAGATTAATTTATACATAGTCATTATAATCTAAATAATGAGCAAAGTTTCGTACTTTAGCAGAGTAGTTAACGTCAGCGCCTTTAGCAAGGAGAAGTTTAGCAATACCGTCGTTTCCATAATGCGAAGCAATATGTAATGGAGTAAATCCACTCTTAGATGTTACGTCTGGATTATGATCATTCTTTATAGTAAAATATATAATTATTATTTTTTTGGTTTTATTTAATTTAATACTTTCATAATTTAAATCAATATTTACTTGAAGGAGTAAATCTGCGGCTTTGCAATCGTCTTTTTTTGCTGCAATATGCAATGCTGGGAGACGCACTTTACCTTTGGTGTCATTTTCTAATAACACCGTTACTACCTTTTCATGACCTTGCTGCATAGCAACAGCGCATGGTGTAAATCCATCCTAAAATAAAAATCGAATATCAATTATTAAATAGCTTATTTATACTATTTTTTTACACGTCATACCTCAGTTGCCAGATTTTGATTGGCCCCATTTGCTAACAAATACTTAACAACTCTGTCATGATTTTCTTGTGCAGCCATGTACAAAGGGGTGAAACCATTTTGACTTTGCACATTGACCAATGCGCCATGTTCCACAAGCGTAACCACCACATCATATTGCCCCGCTAAAAATATATAATTTATATTAATCGTTGAAAATAAAATTGGAATATTTATTATATACCAAGAGAAGCAATATGAAGTGCAGTATTTCCTTTTTTTGTAGCCGAGTTTACGTTAGCACCCCTTTTCAATAACTCTTTTACGATTTCTAAATGCCCATCTTTTGAAGCCAAATGCAGAGCATTCAAACCGTTCTTAAAATAAACAATAACATTATTATAGTTTTAAAATATTTAAAAAGTACAAATTATTCTAAATACTTACAGAGTTTGATGTATTTATATCGATTTTATTTTTCAAGTGTTCAATAACTTTATCAAGGTTCCCGGATCGTGCCGCTCTTAAAAACGAAGAGGTATTCCCCTCCGCCTGTAAAGTTTTATATACCATTATAAAAATTGTATAATTTAATGTAACTACAAAAATAAATAATACAACAAATTAAATAATTACATATTTTAGTATTTTAATTATAAATAATAACCTAGTATATAATGCATAATATTGCATACCTACTTTGTAAACTATTCATATTTATATTTAATGAAATTTAGGTCATTAAACCAATCTATGGATCAACAAATTGCATAATAATATACATATTTTGTACATTTTACATTAATGAAATAGATAAAAATAATAGTAATGAAAATATAAAAATTACAGAATAATTTACTTGAGTATATAAACATAACCTATAATTTATAAAAATATTTCATTCATTAGAAAATGTATTAACATGATTTTTGTTAATTAAACATTAAGATGTAATATTATATAAATATTTTAAAATTTTGATTAGTAGTATACTGAATTACTATATAGTATAATAAAATATAATATATATTATTATTAACTGTATAAAACAAATAAACAATACTTAGAACTTAATTTCAAGTAGATAGTTAGAATACTCGGAAATAATTCCCCATTAAAATACTAAATCATAGATAATTCTCTTTTAGGAAATTATGATCCAAATAAATAAGCATTCAAAATAATTTTAATAGAATCCTACAGTTTTACAATAATAATGATATTTTTGTCAGCATACGATTTTCGGAGCTATACATTTCTCCAAATTCTTACGTTTCCATATCAATTGTTAAAAATGTATATCATTTATTTATTATCCAATTAATTAAAAAATACGTTCGTTTAAAAACAACAACAAAATTGAATTCCATGTAATATTTTAAAAATTAATTAAATATTAATTTATTTCATGTATCATATTATTCATATTAATATTATACATATTACATATTTTACTAAATGATGATATAATGACAATAATGTATAATTTATTTCTACATTATAAAATACCAAACGATTTATAACAATCGCTAAATGCACATAGTTCTGATTTAATTTTAAGCTTCGCATATAACTAATAGAATTTAATGACCGATAACAATTATTAGTGCATATTGATTTCATTCCAAAATCAAAAACTTCATCACAAGACGTCTTATTAAACATAAAATAAAATAAAACACGAAATATGTGTTAAGAGGATATCAGTGCAAAACTTATTTGAAATTATTATTTTTTCAAACAGAGCCTTCAATATTCAAATTTATAAAGAAACTATAATATTTATAATAACTATATGTTGATCATTTAAAAATCTAAACATCAAAAACAGCCTAGCTATACGCCGCAATTAGATATTAATACTATTTTTTTGTATATGGTAATAATTATTATTTACCAAATTCAAATTGTTTAACTACAATACTATAAATTTGAATGGCTATTTTTAGCATTCGTATATTAATGAATGTGAATAACTAAATAGAAATAATAATAATGTCATGTCAATATTCTCTTAACAAGATATGCAATCAAAACTCTTACTTGTCCGGTTTCGGTGACCATGTCCACCCACGCCGCGGACCGCGGTGCTTAACTACTTAACGAATTGTTTTAATGTAACTATATAAATAATATAACAACAAGTAAATTGTGTCAGAATTACGCCATTAATGTGCCGGTGTTGCCGCGTACGGCACCGATACTAAACTGGCCCCTTCGAGCTTATTGCCGGCTACGAGACGGCCAACACCTCCCTCGTACGACGCCCTCACCCAAATGTCATTATAGAAAAAGCCCCTAACTGGTCAATGCTGCCAACCCCCGCGGGCGTAACTAGTGCGAGCACTTGCTGCAAATGCCACGTACACCTGTGTGTATGTGTGGTGTGTATGACCTGCATAAAGGAAGAATATATATATATTGTTTTAAGCTATTGTTCACGTATGAAAAACGAATGGAATCAAAAGAAAACCGTCAAAGAATAACATCAAATAATTTGCAATAAATTGAAAAAATAAATATTATTATTGTTATTGTAGTTTTGAGCTCCATCTTTTTGACTTATTAGTTTAAATGTGAACACAATGAAACTATATGAAAAGTTTCATTTAATTTCACTAAAACAACTCGACTTAATTTTAAGATATTTATTTTTAAAACTATATAATAAACTCCTAGATCCTTACAGTTTATTGATAAAAATAATTACATTTTTATTATTTGAAGAAACTTAAAATACAAAACGTTTGATATCTCTTCAAAAACTTATTTATTTTTCATAAATTATATCTAAAAATATAATATTATAAACTTAAAAAAATAAAAAAAATTAAAAATATATGATATGAATACGATACACTTTAACGTAATATATCTAATTTACTGAAATAATTTCCTAATAAACCTTAATAATTTCAATCGCAACAATGTCCGTTCATTTTCACAATAGCTGCAATTCGTGAATAGATATACAACCTATAATTCAACTGGAATACCTACTTTAAAATTTAATATTATTAATGATAATATTAAACAAGAACGGCTTATTTAAACAAGTCTAAAATGTCCAATAAGAATTTCGAGATTTCAATAAAAAACTTGTAATTTTTGTGTAAAAACGAACTTAAGCTCTTAAGAACATTACGTTCGAAATTTTATGACGATCTTTAACGAATTGCATATTTTAATATATTTCACTCGTATAGACTCACACGCAAAACGATGCAACTACCATAATAAGTACATTACATGGAAATACTTTGTAGACGATACGACGACGTTAATATATTAATAATAGTTGACACAATATACAATATATTAAATATTAGGGCGGGCGACGCCGCGGCGGTCTTGACACCGCTGTCGCACAGTGCTATATGTTTTTAATATATCGAAATATTTCGATTATTTAAAATGCTAATTTAACAATAATAATTTGATAACGCTTTGTGTAATAATATAGAGGTGCCCCCTGCAACGTTGTGCAATCAAATTTAGCACGACCCCTGCTAAAGACGCGACAATGGTTTACTACGCCGCGAGTTCGGTAGTTTAATAATTTCTTCCGTTCCCTTCCACGTATACCATAATATACCGTATCTCAATGTCGGCAGAATTGTGTAATAATTCAACAAACGGTTTCAGCCACTTTATCTATGTGTATGTATGTATATATAATATATATATATATATTATGTGTGTGTGTGTATACACCATATACCGATATGGAGGTCGCGTGCTTTTAGGTTGGTAATGCGTGCAAGAGTACAATAAAAACACGAAACCAGCGACGGCTATGGTCGGGGTGTAGGTGTAGCGCGGCGTTTTATATATCGAACGGCGGCGCCGCCAGCCGCGGCGGACTGTGCAAAATCAATACGCGCCGCCTCCGCAGTCACTGCAGCCGCGCAAGGGGTGTGCAGATTAGATCCGGTGCGGCGGCGGACCCCATGGCCCGGGGAACGAACGAAAACTTACCCTACTCTTTATTAGCACAAATCTGGCAACGTCGGAGTGCGATTTTTCTGATGCCCGCGTATGAGCTATATATATATATGTATTTCTATTTTCTGTGAGTTTTCCGGTTACGAATTGTATATACTTATCGACGTTTTGCCAATGACGGCGATTAGGTACGCGTCAAAATATAACAGCACACCTAGACCTTGTACCTTTTATTATCCCTTTCGTCGGTCTAGGCTTTGAACACCATACATCAATATCCAGTACATATTAAATATTAGGACGGATGGCGTCCCAGCGATCATTATATTATACCAGTCGACTGTCATACAGACTTTTACGTTTTTAATATACCGAAATATTTAAGATGTAGTGAAATTTTTCCGAAAACACATACTCAAGAAATTTAATTTTATAATATTACAAAATTTCCTACTGTCAAAACAATATTTTCAATTGACGTCCAAAGAAAATCATCAACACCTACTTATTTTGAGCTCACTACGGATTTTACGAGTATAATAATATCAGTATAACGCATCAAAAATTTGAAGTTTTGTTTAATTTACGAAATACAGAATTAAAGTTGAATGTATGTCAAATAAATATTGTCGACACTTAGCTTCGACATTTTGGGGTATACACTATTGGATACAATGATATCAGTAGAAGGTACGCCACTTAGAAAAATTACATTGCATTGTAATATAATCGTCGATAACGAATGCTACCTGATGATTCTTCATCGCATCAACTATCCAATATTTTCAATATAAAGTAATCATAAACAGAAGGTAGGTACATATCATAATATTATATATACATAGATTAACGATTGTCATAATAATATTGACGTGACTATTTCAAAAATCCAATTCATGTAGGCATTCGATCTTAATTATGATAAATTAACACCATAGTCTTGTTTCCCATGTCCCAATATGTTCATGGATCATTTTACTTACAACGTAATCACACGTCGGTAATTCAATATTGTTATATAGATATGATATATTTTTATAATAAAATTAGTATGAAAGCGTGACGGATTTGAGACATTCTAAGATAAAAATAGAAAAATACATATCATATAGGAAACTTGCAGACATTTACCTATTCAAAAAAAGTACTAAATACTAGAGTACGTTAATATTAAAATATTATGTATTATATATATTTATGTGTAATTGCCGTACTTAAATATAATTATTTTTTAATCAGGAAAACTATTAAAATAATGATGATTTGTTTTTGGTAAATCTAGACAACAAAATAAACTTAATATATATCTATATATATATATTCATATTTTATTTTCGTACATATTTAGTTTAATATAACTTCTAAATATTAATTTTTAAAATACCTAATCTTACATTTTCAATTTCAACTAATTTAATTTTTGTTCATTGCAGTTTGTACTGCGTAATAGTTATGCCTTGACAAACTTTACATAAGTATTATTTAAAACTCTACATATTGTCATTATTTAGTGTGAGTACTTGGAACTTATTAAAAACAAATGCGCTTATTGAAATGCTAATAATAGATGGACAAAAAGTGTTAGCCAAATATCTAAGCTATGGATT